AACAACCATAAACCTGAAATGCAAAGTTCTATTATGCCATATGTGAAAGTATGGACTCATACAGGAGGTCAAAAAACTCAATATACAAATGGAGACCGGTTCAAACTTTTGGCTTGGCATTCCATTTGCTGACTCAGAAGACTTTATGGGTGGTATTTCAACTGTTGGTACTGTACAAATACAATATACTGGTGACAGAGACGGTCCAGATGAACTGAGAGCAAAGAAGTTTACAAAACCAATAGCACTTTTCACGGAAGATGCCTTTTTGAAGATTCGTTCGATGAAACCTGCTGGGGCTCCTCAGATTGGCATAACGACAGCTTCCATCGAGCAGATTTTGGCAGCAGGTCAGTAAGTTGTTCTTGAACTGACTTCTCTCCGTCAAATATTGACAGTACGCCAGTTTTGACATATAATATTGTAAGATAAACTTTCCTTTAGAAATATCTGTAAGTTTTGAAGTTTAATTTTTGTCTGCTTCAAGAACTTTCACCATTTCAGTTATACCAACTTTCTTTGCTTTATGAAAAATATTTAGGTTCAGCAAATATTGCTATTCTATAACATTTACCATTGTTTGTATAAAGAACTATTCTGTCAATGTATTTGTATTGTTTGTGTGTGTAAACTTTGTTCTGCTTCAATTCGAAGAGATACTCGAATACGTCCATCTTTTTATTCTAAGTAAAATGTCATTTCCGAAAATAGAAGCGTGAGTGTTTCAAAAGGTTTAATGGCGGTGGCAGATGTGAAGTTAAATTCACCAACTCAAACAAACAGTCAAAGTGTTGTTGTCAATGTCAAAGACAGAGATGTTGAAGTGGGGAAACCATACGAGGACGAAGATGGTATAACAATTGTTCCTGTAAAAGAACAACCAACATATCCTGAAGTTAGCAGAGACTTAAGTTCTGTTGCAGATATTCGAAACGACTACCAACAACTGAAAGACAAACTTCAAACTCAGGAGAAGATTTGTCAAGCTTTAGGTATAATGTTAAACTTGGTCGAACACAACCCTGTAAAGGTGAGCTCCTATGTCATTGCACCTCATGAAGTTTTGAAAGAACTATTGAAACTTTTGACAGAGGCAGACGATATAAACATCAAAGAAATAGAACCCGACATTAGTTCGTGTGTGTTTCATATAATGTCATTGACAAGTATTACGTTATGAAAGAGGGTGAAACGTTGAACTTAAAGTATAGTTTCCCAGACGTCATAAAAATATTTGACGACCACAACATTTCATTAAAATTTATTTGCTAAGTAAAATGTCAAAACTTCTTGAAAGATGTTTGAAGAAAAATAATAATATAGACTTCTATTTCATGTAAAGGACTTTACACACTTTTGAACGTATGAAAGACCCTGTTTGTTTGTCGTGTAGACAAAGGAAAGTTTCTATGTCTTTACAAATTATTGAACTTCTTAGACAGAGAACTTCAAGAAACGCCATGTGAAAGTTTTGATGAAGTTCTTCTCCACTTTCAGAAAAACTTTTAAATATATATAAATGGCAGAAGATATTATGGTTTATACTATTACGACTAAAAACCTGAGTCATATAATTCTATAACAACAAACTTACAAAGTCCTCAGGACGATATTGTAAACTAACCTTAACACAATGACGACTAAAGCTGTTTTGCTCTTTGACACCAGAAGACTTTATTGTTGTGAATGGTAAAAAATATCCTTTAGATCTTACTCAGATATACCACCAAAAGGTTTTTGTTGACTTATTTAATACTTTTAAGGACGGGTGTAACATGTGCTGCACTAGAGCAGGTTTCATTTATTGTGGATGTCCGACTGAGTTTACTATTAACAATATGAGCTATAATACAAAACTATATTCTGGTTTTTACTACAACAGTTCCTCTATAACAGGAAAAGGTGTCATACAAGAATGTCTGTTCCATTGACTTTAAGTAAACCTATTTTATAATATTGTTTCAAACTTAGGTTCAAAGTGCTATTCGAATGTCGCACGAAACTACTATGACAAAAGATACTCATGCGTATAAAACAACACATTTCTCTGCTGGTTTGCTATTGTTCATTCGAATGCAGAATTTTCAACCTTAGTGAACTCAAACACTTTGGCAAGATTATACGTTGACATTAGTGACGCAAACTTTGTTCCTGTAAATTTTATGTCTATGTATGTCAATGACGGCAGAAGTTTTCGAATTGGAAGATGCAACTGGTGAAAAGTATGTATTACAAGAACAACTTCAACAACAAATAGCTCAAGACAACAAATGCAACAAATGGAACAACAAAGTCAAGAATATAAAAAAATATTTTTTTATTTTTATAAAAATGTACAGAATAGATGTTTTCAGATTTTTATGACTTCCAAGCATTTCAGAAATATGTTCCATTTCGAGACTATAACAAAGCAGTCCGAGAATTTTGAACGTTTAGTCATTTATGTGACTCTGCCCAGAATGTTATGTTATGAAAGAATGGGGGATGTTGTCTTTAACAAACCTAAACGAACAATAGTTTCGAACAAGAATGTAGACAGAAACTTAAAGAAAATAAAAGTCGTACAAGTTGGCATGAAGATGTTAGATGCTTCGGGATATCTTATTGTCAAAGGTAGAAGATTTTCAGTTCGACGGTATAAAGTTCTATACACCTTCTCCAAAACTTCTATTCTATCTTCACTGGATTATAAATATGAACAAGTAGAATGGAAAGAAATATATAGAAGCTTGGTTAGACATGTCAAAGAAATTATATGCAGTGGGAAACGAAAAGGTTATGAGTATAATTTATGTGGTTTGCAAAATCTTACAACATCCAAGTGCTAAAAATGAAACTGCTGTCTCATTATATTTGGAAAAACAAAGGAACTGGTTAAGATACTTCTTTTACAGATATCTTATGCAAACTGTTAGAAGGGTTATTCGAATCCGAATATGACAAACTTAGAAACATCTTGTGCAAGTTTAACTCCTCAATAGAGAGTATGAAACTATAGTTTGCAATGTGAACTTCATGATACTAGACTACAACACATGCAGTGTTTGTAATTCGGATCCTTCTGTTGCATGAGAGTCTTTATAACGACACAAAGTTGGAGTGTGTAGTGAAAGAAAATCTTTATACGTAATGATCGCGCTTTCTCGCGATATAATGTTGGAATTTCATTTATCGCTTTCACTATGTTCGATGAGTTTAGAAAGTTCTGAAGAAGAGTATGTATTGTCGAACGTCAGCGATTCTCATATGGACGATATACGAATATTTTGACACATTACGCAGATCTTCTGAAATAAAGTCTATATTATTTTTCTTCAAACATCTTTCAAGAAGTTTTGACATTTTACTTAGCAAATAAATTTTAATGAAATGTTGTGGTCGTCAAATATTTTTATGACGTCTGGAAACTATACTTTAAGTTCAACGTTTCACCTCCTTTCATAACGTATATCTTGTCAATGACATTATATGAAACACCACAGCAACTAATGTCGGGTTCTATTTCTTTGATGTTTATATCGTCTGCCTCTGTCAAAAGTTTTCAATAGTTCTTTCAAAACTTCATGAGGGTGCAATGACATAGGAGCTCACCTTTTACAGGGTTGTGTTCGACCAAGTTTAACATTATACCTAAAGCTTGACAAATCTTCTCCTGAGTTTGAAGTTTGTCTTTCAGTTGTGGTAGTCTTTCGAATATCTGCAACAGAACTTAAGTCTCTGCTAACTTCAGGATATGTTGGTTGTTCTTTTACAGGAACAATTGTTATACCATCTTCGTCCTTCGTATGGTTTCCCCACTTCAACATCTCTGTCTTGACATTGACAAAACAACACTTTGACTGTTTGTTTGAGTTGGTGAATTTAACTTCACATCTGCCACCGCCATTAAACCTTTTGAAACACTCACGCTTCTATTTTTCGGAAATGACATTTTTACTTAATAAAAAGATGGACGTATTCGAGTATCTCTTCGAATTGAAGCAGAACAAAGTTTACACACAAACAATACAAATACATTGACAGAATAGTTCTTTATACAAACAATGGTAAATGTTATAGAATAGCAATATTTGCTGAACCTAAATATTTTCATAAAGCAAAGAAAGTTGGTATAACTGAAATGGTGAAAGTTCTTGAAGCAGACAAAAATATAACTTCAAAACTTACAGATATTTCTAAAGGAAAGTTTATCTTACAATATTATGTCAAAACTGGCGTACTGTCAATATTTGACGGAGAGAAGTCAGTTCAAGAACAACTTACTGACCTGCTGCCAAAATCTGCTCGATGGAAGCTGTCGTTATGCCAATCTGAGGAGCCCCAGCAGGTTTCATCGAACGAATCTTCAAAAGAGCATCTTCCGTGAAAAGTGCTATTGGTTTTGTAAACTTCTTTGCTCTCAGTTCATCTGGACCGTCTCTGTCACCAGTATTATTGTATTTGTACAGTACCAACAGTTGAAATACCACCCATAAAGTCTTCTGAGTCAGCAAATGGAATGCCAAGCCAAAGTTTGAACGGTCTCCATTTGTATATTGAGTTTTTTGACCTCCTGTATGAGTCCATACTTTCACATATGGCATAATAGAACTTTGCATTTCAGGGTTTATGGTTGTTGTGAAGTTGTTGTTAAAGTTCATAGCATCTAATGTCAAGTTGTATGACCTCATATCCTCAACTGTAGAATATTCTTCTCTTGGATAATATTGCCATCTATGTTTATATGATATTTAATACCGGGGTTGTAGAAACAAGAATAGTCATTTATAGTTCGTCTGAACAGTACAAACATAGTATCTGCATGTTTCATTGCAGTTGTTAAGGCAATATCTGTTCTTGCACCTGGGTCAGCACTTTGGTTTCCAACTTCACCTGCAAAGTCTTTGACAGATATTTGGTGTATAGGGAACATAAGTGGAACTGCAATATATTTGGCAGCTAAAGCATTTGAAATATCTGGGTCCAACATATAGACTGCAAGTCTGCTTTCTATTCTCTTGCATTCAAACTTTTCGCATGTGAACTTAACTGGGTCCCAAGCAGTTCCAGCAGCATTGAAATAATAGTTTACTTCATTGTTGAAGTTTGAGAAACCAAAGTCTAAGTCAACCTTATCTTTGCAAAAGTCGGCGAATGACGTTTTATTTGTTCCCACTACTTCTGTAAGAGTGAATGGGTCTTGTGTTGGTGCAATGACTAAGTTATTTTTGCTTGGAGTAAGTTCGATAGAAATTTTTCCTGCCCAGTTTGGCAAGTATCTTAAAAACCTGAAGATGAGGAAAGATGACAAAGGAACTCTAAGTTTCAGTTTTACTTTAGTGGCAGCAGTTCCATCTGAACCAGAAAGGTTAACATAAACTCCTGGAACGTTAGGGTCAAGTCTTCTTATTTTCTCAATATTTGCATACTGGTCTGTTTGTTCTCTAGCTTGTGGTTGTACTGAGTTTCTCAAAGCGAACCATTCATAGTTTGCCCATGTTACTGTTTGAACTAAGTCAGAGTTAGAATATATCTTATATCCCATGAAAACTTCTGGAGCATATTGGTATCCGACATAGAAAATTCCATTGCAACCTTTCTTGTCAGACAACTTGGCAGAAGGTTTTATTTCAATGTCTTGTTCCACGTATAAGAATGAGTTGTCAATAGAAATAATATGAAACCTGTCGCAAGCAATATCTACTGTTGTTGAAGAACCTTCTCCAAACTCACCTACGTTTCCATAAGAAACAGCAGTTGTATATTCGTAAGTTCCAGGAACTATTTCTGACCTTCTAATGGCATTGTCGCATTCGTTATACCATTCGGAAACATTTCCGTTCATGGCATCCAAAACTGTTGGCGTTATATTCTGAGCGGCGTACATTTCATATGGGTAAAAATATAGAATAGTTGGATTATATATCATAATAGAACCCACTCGTACCAAGCTTTACTTTGTTCTACTCTTCTTCTTTGGTGTCGCTTTTGGTAACTTGCCCTCTGCTTCAAGTTGTTGCATCTTTGCCTCATGTTCACCTAGTATGTTGTAAATTTCCCATGTCCTTTTTGCCTTTGGGCTCTGGTCGCCCAACTCAGGTAACCTATATCCTAGAAAGATTTTGTCATAGTTTGTATTTGAGTCTTCGCGTATTGTTTGCATGACTCTTTCCTGAGTTTCCGGTTCAAGCTCTTCAAACAGAGCTTGTCCATATGGAATAAGCTCGTTTCCAAATATATGTTTTTGTAGCCATTCTGGTTTTCTTTCCATGTTACCAACAATATCTTTTGTGAATGGGAAAGCTTTTACCCAATGTTTCAGTCTTGCGTCATTTATTTCTGTAGTTGGTTTTATTTTGTCAAGGAACATGTTTTTCAATACTAACATTTCATTTGGTACTGTCCATTTGAGTTTTCTTAAATATTCATCCCTTCTCGGTTCATTGTCTGCAAAGTAAGTTTTTATGACATTTTGCAAACTTTCGTTTGCAAGGTCATGTACAATAGGTTCTCTTCCTTCTATCTCCCTAACTTTCTTTCTAAACTCTTCACCAAATATACCATCTCTATGGTTCTGTGTAGTTCTTTGAGATAAATGTTCTAGAACGTCAGGTGTTATATTTCCATCAGCCATGTTCATTTCATACTGGTCCAAAATATCTGCATGTTTCATATCTTTCAATGGCATTAAAGCCGCGCTGAAAATACCAGCTACATCTGGTTCACCATTCACTTCCATTGCGTCTACAACTTCTTGGAATTGTGGTTGTAAGTTTATGAACCACCTATCCGGATTAGCTTTATGACCCCATCTCATTGTAGTTCCATCGTCTGCAGAAACAAAAGTAGGTTTGTTTCCATATTGGCTAGGTTCTGAATGAACTTTAAACAATGTTTCATTTCTATATGTTTTGTTGAAATTTAACCTTTTATTTTCACCGAGTTCATCCAAAGATTGAACGTTATATGCTCGTAAGTAAAAAGGATTGTTGTATTTGTGTACATTATCTTTCAGTACTTCCATTCTATGCTGGATATTTTCATCTGATGTTGGAGTCTTTTGTATGTCGGCGAACATTTTTCGATATTCTTCTACTATGTCAGCTGAATTTTTCTTAGACTCTTGGAAAGATTCCATATTCTCCGCATACTCTTGTTGAGGGTCAAGATTTTTCGGCTGTTCCAAATCTTCATCTAGTTCTGTGAAGTTAGTTTCCAAAGGAGGGACTTGTTTGTTTCCTTCAGGCTCTTCTAGCTGTTGTTGCTGAACTATTTCTTCCATGTCTGGTTGTATCTGAACTTCTTCCTGTGGAGTTTCTTGTACCTCATCTGCTGGCATTTCATATATTCCGAGACCGTTTTTAAAAAGTTCCCTATCTAAGTCATCCGGACTCATAAACCTTTCTTCTTTCGTTCCGTCTCTATTTTTTACGCGTTTCATGAAGAGAGTTGAATTATCATTTAGCTCTGACACCAAATATCTCGGAGTAAATTCATCCATGTCATTTGGATGATATGCTATTAAATCATATCCCTTAGCGAGCTTGTATTTTCCAGGTTTGAAATTATATCCCATTTGGTGCTGAACCATAAAGCTAAATAGGTTCGGGTCAGTATTTCCTTCCTTGAACTTTCTAATAGCTTCTTTATATCTGTCACTAAAGTCAAGAGTATCTGGGTAACCATAGTCTTCCTTAAGCATTTTTAAGAATTCTTGGTTTCCTTGTTCTCTACTTCTTTTATGTCCTTGCTCTGTTTGTGGTTGTTGCTGTGCTGGTTGTGGAGGTGGTTGTGGTGCAGTGTTTTGAACTGTTGGTTGTGGTGCAGTGTTTTGAACTGTTGGTTGTGGTGCAGTGTTTTGAACTGTTGGTTTTGGTGCATGCCTGTGTCTGTGTCCATGTGACGATGTAAATGTTTTAGGTAGTCCTGGTGCAGGTGCTTCTCTTGGAGGGTTTGGTGGTATATAAGTTCCACCAGCTGGCACATATGTTCCATCTGCAGCATAATGTCCTACCTGACTTTTCGTTCTTAAGAAAGCATTTACTAGGTCTGTTTTGGTCTGTTGTAACTCTTTTTCTTGACTTTCCACAACAGTTGCTCTAACGGCGTCATAGGCACTTTGAACTGCCTGTCTCGTTGCTGCATCTGTTATTTTCGTCATATTTTGTGCTACTTCTCTTAACTCTTTGTCGAAACCTTCAGACTTCAGTTTCTTTCCAGATGAGAAGTCGTTCACTAGTTTCACCTTACTATGAAGAGCTTCGAAGGCGTTCTTAAAGTCAGCATTCATTAAAGCTTCATTTGAACTGTCTTCATCCGCTTGTATTTTTGTCCTTATTGACCCTATAAGTTGGGCTGCTTTAGCGTTGGCTTGGGCATCTAACCAGTCATTATTAGCTTTTATATATTCTGCGCTTTTCATTGCCTTTTGCATGGCTGCGTCGTTATTTTTACTTTCTTGTGCTAAGTTTTCATACTGTACGGTTTGGTTTTGCAACTGTAAAAGTTTTTCTGCCTTTACATTTGCTTCAACTTCTTTTTATACTCATCGCTATCCATATATGTCTTCAGGGCTTTTTGTTTTATCTCTTCATCTTTCAGTACTTTATATCGAGTAGTATGGTTTTTCAAATTTATAACATCTTGTTCCATTTTTTGCTACTTCTGCTGCTTTTTCTGACACTTTTTTCGCATATTCCTCTGTACTTAGTTCTTTCAGTTGTTCTTCTTTCTTCTTTTCTCTACGTTTAACTCATTGAGTTTCTTTGTGTGTCTGTCATATTCTAGTTTCTTTTCGTTTTCACTTATTTGTTTCTGTATGTCTATGTTTGACTTTTTGACATCTGTTATTTGATTTTTGAGTGAACTCAAATTCATTTGACTTTGAGGGTTATAGGCTGTTCCGTCTGCAGCTCCACCATAGCCTGCCATTTTCGCTAAAAGTGCCGCTCTTAAACCTCCACTCTGTGCACCAATAACTCGGTTTAAAAGCATAGGGTTGCTTGACATTTGTTGCAACATAGTGGGGTCATTCATAATTTGTTGTTGCAACTGTTGTTGTGGTGTTAGTTTTACTATTGGATGTTTCAATGCTCTCTTCCTCTTACGTATATTCTTACGTAGCTTACGTGGCATTTTAAGTGAAGTAAAAAACGGTTTTTGACAGATGTTTATATGACACTTTTTGTTCAGCACAAAAAACTACTCGGTCAAAGTGTTGTCAGTTTTGTAAAATAACCGTCCTATCTCATTCTATAAGGGGAAAGCTTCTCAAAGTATACTTCCTTGGAACGCCCGTAACTTTTCCTGTAGCGACGATAGACCCTTATTTGTCCGGACAAAGTTATACTATTTTGAGTGCTCTACAAAAAAGTCAACAGCGACGACTCTCAAAAACCGTTGTGTAAAAAGTTTTACCGTTGGACAAAAAAGTATATATAGAAAACAAAAAACGTTTATAGTTCATTCAATATTTGAGATGGAACGGTTTTCCAACGGTAACTATTAAATAAATAAAAAAAAAATAGAGGGAGTCTCCGTTGACGAAAACGGTTCATCTCAAACTCTTATTTGAAAAAACAGTTTATTTTTGTCTAATGGAAGCCAACGCTGTTAACCACAATTCAAACATTAACAATTCTCAACCGCTAACCAAAGCCAAAGCCCCACAACCTCCAAGAACCGGCACAGCGGTTAGAATAACCACCAAAAAATCTAACAACGAATTAGAGAGAAATTCTTCAACAAATTTGCTCTAAATATCTCAAAGACGCCGAAGAAAACACACAACCAGACGCTACATACAATACTCAGTTCTGTGAAGTTCTGAACAAAGCAATTGCTAGTTCAATTGAACTTACTAAGACAATTCCAAATCCAATTGAGCTTAGCGATGTCTTAGTTCAGTATTTTCCAACATTTACTAAGCTTATAATGTTGAGAACTTTATACCAAGTTCGTCAAAATCTTCCTCGTTACATGCAACGGTCATTCGACAAGAGAATTGCTGAATTCCAAGTCTTTAGTTACGGATATGACGAAGATGAATACGTTGACGAGTTCGGAGACAACTGTACAAAATGGTTTGAATTTATACGACAACACAATTTGAATTCGACTTTCTCGAATTCAACGCAGCAACCATTCATATCATTGCTCTTTACCTTTCCGAACAACAACAAGACCTCGCAGATGGAGATGTTGTTACTGTCGTCATGGAAACTCCTGAACAATTCGGAAAAAAGAAGTCTCTAATTGCCAAATTCGTTCCAGGACATCAGCTTTTCCAACGCACAGAAGTCTTCTGTATTCCTGGAACTAAGTTCTTTGTCAGGAGCGAACGCAAAGAAAGATATAATGTGTCATTCAATTACACATTATATAATGTTTTCGACCCAGAAGAAGGCTTCTTCCCAGAAGCAATGGAGGAAGAAGAAGAGGAGGAGGAAATACAAAACTCTATCCAAGAAGAGTCCTCCGAATTCACACCAGAAGACTAACAATTTTCCGAATAAAAACTTCATTTATACTAAACATCTTCGGGGCTAGAAGGGGCGCAGCCCCTGGAAGCCCCACTACCTTTTTTTTTTTTTTTTTTTTTTTTTTGATATAGATTATATGATTTATACATATGAAAAATAATATATAAAAATATAATTTTGAGATAATTATGTAAATAATATTTTAAATATTTGAATTTGAGGTATAATTTTATAGTAAAATATATTATAAAGAGTATTTATATAAATATTGTAAAATAATATAAGTAATAAAAATTGAGACCCCCTCCCTGTTTTTGATGTTTTGTCAATTTTTCGGTAATTCTTATTGTTTCCTGTTTCATCTGTTATAACGAATGAAGCGATAGTATTGAAGTCAACCATTCTGAATGCAAGCGCCTCATTCTGTAGACCTAAGTTTGTTTGTAGCTTTACTGTCCCGTATTCGTTTGGGTCTGTACTTTGCAAATAGAACAACATTTTATTCTCATTAAAATATGAGTATAGCTGCATATGCGTATGAAGCTGACAGAGCTAAACGTTTATATTTTGGTCAATACTCTCTCACACTTACTGACAAATATATTGTTATCACTGATGGAAATACTGAGAAATACATAACATGGAAGGACTATGAAAAGTTTGACCCTATTTTAACTCCATGTACTATGCCGTTTATAAAGGACGGTGAAATTATTGAAAAAGATAATACAACCGTATATAGGTCTGTTTATGAAGCATTAGAATATATGTTGAATCATAATCCAAAAAGATTTGACCCAAGCACTACACCATGTGCAATGCCTTTTATTAAGGACGGTGAAATCGTAAGAGTTCCGGATTCAACGGTTTACACAGCTGTTCAAAACAGTTTACAAAACATTTTAGCGAATATCTTTAATTCAGAAACTACAGAAATAAAATTACCGTATATAACAGATGCTAAAGAAATTAAGGATACCCTTACATTGCGTAGTTAGAAAGAGAATATGATATTGTCATGATTGCTAAAGTTTTAGGCTCCAGAAATGAATATACATCAAACTGAAACAATTGATAAATTGAATGAACTTTTGAGAGGTTCTCAAATAAAAAAAATTATCTAATTTTTTACAATATTACTATTATTTTATCCACATATGTATATATAGTAATTTGAGAAAACTTTTAGGAAAAAATAAGTTTAATAAAAATCTGAATTTTACTTGTTGTGGGATTGTTATTAATTGACACTCCAGACGTATTACTAATAATTATGCGTATGCAATTAAAGTATTTCTGATGGACAAAATGTGAGATTTATATCAGATAATTCATTTCTACTATTAAGTTATTCATTTATGAGTTTGCACTTATTCGCACTAAATAAATAACTATTAAAAATTGTTTTAATTAATTGACACCATATAATAGAGTGAATTTTGTTTGATCAAACAACAATAGATGATAGATATAAAGCCAAGAAACTTGCTATTAATATGCTCTACTTGCTATTTCAATGTAAGTATGATATTTTCTAAATGTTTCGTTCAGATAACTTAGATATATTAGTCAAAATTTGAAATTTTAATAGCACATATATTAAAAATAATTATTATTCATAAAAGATTAATGAAATAGTAAAAAAAAATCAATCAAATTATAAAAATACAACATTTAGAAGAATTCTTATTATCCTTCAAAAAGTCAGTATTTCTGCTGTAATTTTCTACAACATTGTAGTTATTGCACTTTGTCTATGGATTTGTATATATGTTATATATAAATTATATATCTAAACTGCCCATAAGTGCAATTTTTTATATAAATTGTTTATTTCTTTAACAATTTCATATGAAATATGCTTTTTTAAGCGTATCAAAGCTGTGTTCTTAATGTGCATGGATATATCAAGAAAAATGTCGAAAAAAATGTGAATTCAAAAATTCACTGAATTTTCACCGTTTTTTGAATTTTGCTACAGCACTAATATTAAATAATACTAAAATCTTCTGTCTTTGTAAAAGAATAAATTCTGACAAAAAGTGCTCGTTTAAATTTAATGATCATCTGTATGACTAAGTGGTAAAAAGTGTTTATGACCAAAAAAGGGTTACATGCTTAGTCTATTTTTCTGACAGGATACTCTAGATTTACATGATCTCTATTTCATATCTCCGTTTTTAGATTCTTCGACAGATTTTATGATAGAAAACCAAGATTAACAAATTTCCGGCATGTTAATGAAGAAATCTGCAGCTACCCTCAATATTATTTCAATAATCAGTATCGTTTCTCTTACAATTTATTTTTTTCTCAATAATTTAACAAGAAATAACAATACACACTTGGTTTTACGTATAAAAGCTAAGTGTCGAACTTAATCAACTTTACTTACTTAGCAAATGAATATTTTTGTGGTTGCGAGTTCTGAATGCTGAAGTTTTAGATTTCTCTATAAATGATATCATTGCACTTACAATGTTGTTCCAGCCTATCGCATAAATCATAGAAAATCCAAAAAAAAAAAATAATAGAAAATTCATGTCATGAAGTTCAAAAAATACCGTGTAACATTAAAATTTGTTATGCATAATACATTTTAGCTATTATTGATTTTTTTTAATTTTCGAGAAATTGAATGGTGAGTCCGATAGAGAAATTTTTAAAAATCCTAGTCCCTCATAGAAGTAATTTCCCTCGTCTCCCATACTTCCAAATGTATGCATATGACATAAACTTTTATGCATTACACAAATGGCCAATAATATCTATAGAGTAAAAAATTAGAAATTTAATTTTTTTATATGATAGTTATATTTCAGATTTGCGAGCGTAACTTTTTTCTCCATGGCATACTTGTTTTAAGAGCAAATGATCAAAATCGTCCTTCAATTATTGAAGGAGCTGATATCTTTTGAAAATTGAATTGAAAGGGTATTCAATTTTCAAATTTCCTCTCAATTTTGGAAACATATCAACTCTATGAATTAACAATTATGTGCCTTCACAGTTTATCAGTCATATAAGGTGCTTATAAAGAAAAAAGTTACGCTCGCAAAATATGTTTTTATATAGATTTCACATAAAATAATTATGTATTTTCTAAAAAGAATATTTTTGTTCTTGAATATTAAAATGTATTGTAGTTTAAAAAGTTTTAAATATGTTGCTAAAATTTCAGGTTTATAGCTCATGTCTAGCATGACTTCTTCGTATGCGCAAAAAATCTGACACGTAAGGGTATCCTTAAATCAAAAACGACAACATTATTTACGTCACTTAATGATTTAATGACTTATATCATTAATATTCCTGCACCAACTACAGCATTTGATCCAAACTCGACGGTTTGCAGTGTACCTTTCATAAATGACAGTTCATTAATTGCTTTAAGGGATTCAACAGTAAATGAATCATTAAAGGCGTCATTAATGAAAATCATTGATTTTAACTCATTCACGAATACATATAATTCATTCATTAATGTTTTCATATGCTTCTAAAGAAGGTGAGCCAAAAACTATCGATAAAGCGTGTATGAAATAAAAGCATCAACGACGAAATTGAATTCGTTAACTTTTGACGGTGATAGTTTCGTTAATAACATAACATCGGGGAAAACAATTTTAACGAAAGAATACTTAAAATCTCATGTTAGTGAGTTCGTTGAAATTGAAAAAGAAGGTGGAATTAAGTTCGATCCACTGAATTTCATTTTCAGCTTAGCGAATGTGGGTGTTAGTTTCGCTGAATGGACAACTATACAGAGTGAAATAAATGCAATATGGACGTTTTTGGGTCAAAAGCGGGAATGGGTAAGCTTGTAAATGCAAGCATTAGGTGAAACAGGAAATTTTGTAGATGGTTTTAAAGACTTGTTTCAAATGTTTTAACAAACACAAAGAAATTATTTAGATATACCGTACATAACGGACGGATTTTCGAACAGATAGCAACAAAACCCTCCGGTTATGGCTGCGTTGATGATGGTTAGAGATATAAAACACACGTAACGACGGGAACGAAGAACATGAACAACAGGATACTGGTCGGGTTATTCGAGACATTAAAAACGTGTATCCTGAAGTTATTGATTTATTTAGAGGAGTTAATGATTCAATTTCAAAACATTCTATAACCCTCGATGAAGAGAATAAATTAACAGATTATATATTCGTCATTATTGCAGAATTAATGAAGAGAATAAATGAAAAAGGAATTGGTGATATCATTAATGTCAGCGATGTAATGATGAAAAGAAATTTTGATCATATTTACAAAACCGAAAACAGAATATAGTCTTTATGACGTAAATACCGAATTAATGAAAAAGATTAATGATAATAAGAGTTCTGGCGGAAGAGTTGAATTAGAAGTGAATGATGTTAATGAGAAATTAGCCGAAAAAGCAGACAAAAATGAGCTTTTAGCTCTGAGTGATAAAGTCAAGAACCACGTTCATTATATAAGTTCAGACGAACAGATTATAACGGACTACCATGGATATTTAACACGAAGTGATGAAGTGAAGACGGAAGACCCCAATGAAAGAAGATATAAATACATTCGTGCTAAAGGTTATGACATAAGCTGTACTGTACAGTATGATGTAGCTAAAGCACCAGAAGCATTTGGTTATACCGGTGAAATTTATGCCTCTACTTTCAATGTTAACGGTGTATTAGTTGAACCAAGATTTACTTTGAGAGTTAAGTCAAAAATAACGTTTGAAGATGCTATTAAAAGTAAAGCTGACAAAGTTGAACTTGAAGCAATGAACAAAGTTTTGAAATCTCATAAACACAACATCTCCGATATAAATGAACTTCAAGCTACATTAGATAAGAAAGCTGACAAAGAACATACACATAAATCCTTCACTACTGTTAGAGCAGACGACATAATATTGAACTATACCCTTGGTTCAAGTGCACCTTTAGAGAATCCAAGTACAAGCGTAAAAGATACACTAAACTCCTTAAATAGTAAATGTATGAACATTGAAGGTCATGTCAGAAACTTTGAAACACATGAACTACCAGCAATGTTAGATAAGAAAGCAGACAAAACAGAGCTTCAAACATTAAAGACTGAAATACTTCAAACATTATATCCTGTTGGTTCTATTTATACGTCAATGAACTCAACAAATCCAGCAAGTGTTTTAGGTTTTGGTGAATGGAAGCAGATTGTAGACAAATTCTTATACTGTGCTAGATATTCAAAGACGGCAGGAGGTTCGAAGAAAATTAAAGAAGCAAACCTTCCACCGCACACTCATACAGGAACTACAAACACAACAGGTAGTCATTCACATTCAATAACAAAAAGAGGTTATACAAATCTTGCAGCAGGTTCGGATAGACAGGGAATGAATAGATATGATATTTCAAGTGACCCAGTAGATTCAAGCGCAGGTATTTTCTGTGGAACCACAGGAAATCATTCACACACTTTCACAACAAATCCAACAGGCTCGGGTGCAGATTATATGCCACCATTTATGACTGTATTCGCATGGTATAGAGTTCATTGAACGCGCTTGAGCCTTGAATAAAATCTTTAACTTTACATAAATGAGCTTGAAAGAAGTATTCGAACAACATCCATGGAGGTCATTTAAGAAGTTCAATGAAGCTGCAAAGAGTTGGGGATTTACTAACAGAACTGAAGTGAAAAGGTTCTTTGACAAAAATGTTGTACATCAAACAAAAATAAACCCTTACGACTACTTTTTACCAATTTACTCCAACACTCCTGACGCATACCAATTTGACACTCTCATTCAAAGCAGAAAAGGAGGACATAAACCATTCCTCATCTTCATTAATGTTAACACTCGTAAAGCTTTTGCGTATATAATGAAAAATAAAGGAACTCGTGAAGTGTTAAGAGTTTTACAAAAGTTTGTAGCAGAACATAGCCCAAGTACTTTAACATCAGACCAAGACAGTGCATACCTCAGCAATGAAATCACAGATTTTCTCATTAAGCATAA